AATAGCGTATGCAACTCTCATGTAATGGTTATTAATACACTCGCATATACCATACAAAACTCGCCTTCGGCTCGTTTCGTATCCCGGTTAATGCTCGTGTCTTAATAACCATCATTACATGATCGTTGCATAATATACTATTATAGTGCTTGTTAAAATAATAGTCTTATTATTAGATTTACCTGACTATTACATAAGGACACATAGTAAAATTAATTCAAGACTAGTAGATAAGGCGATATTGTGAAATTAATTTAAGACACTTAGGACGCAGGTACCTAGAAGAAGTATCTATGGTATAAATAAGGATAACTTTGTAAGTATGTTTAGTTTGATCTCCACTTTGAAGATGATCACTTGGTGATCAAAACACATGTCGAGGTGTTAAAATAACGGTTTGGTGTTGGGAAAAAACTCCAGTATTATTCATTTGATATCTTGATTATTTTCATTTGTTTTATTGTATTTTCACCTCAGGTTTTATTGCTTAATATAATTGATATTTTAGTTTTTCATTCTAATTTTATTTGTTCTTTCACACATTTTGATTCACAGTGGAATTAGGTATATTGGACAGTGGAAGTCCGAACTAATAAAATTGTTGACTAAATATCTTTTCAACGGGAGAAGATATCAAGGTCGGACAAAGTTACTTGAAAAGCATTACTTTTAGTAATTTTCAATAAAAAAAAAACAGGTATGAGGTCACTCCTCTATAAGATTGCTTGTTCAACTTTTTTTTTGTCAAATCAGAAGGAAGGTGTTATGATACATCATTCACTGGGTATTTTACTTCACTATACGAAACTAGTTTCCTTTTGTTGGGGTATTATGGCAAATTTTTGGGGTAATGTCTCCACAGAAAATTTCGTCATATCTGCTGAGCTGGCGGGTCAATCTAAGGGTCAAAGTCTACTTATCATTTTCACTTTAGATAGTTATATACTCTCACCATCGTATCTTTGTATAGCATCTATCACTTTAACTTGAGAATTTTTCGTAGCAGAAACAAACCATCATCAGTAAATGAAATCATTGAAATATATTTGTAATGAATTTTGGCAAATAATCTTTGTTTTCCCTGATGCTCTTTTACAACTTTTATGGAAAGCTAATATTGAACATTTTCATATGATGTTTAATAATATATTGAGTGAAACAAGAAAAACAATTTAACCCAGTTTTATTTTGTAGTTGAATTGGGCTGATGTCTATATGGCAACCGAATATGAAGGCTACATGAATTTCTTCGACAGAGACGTTCTTACGGACTATCCGAACTTGCAGAGAGTGATCAGGTCTGTCTTAACAGAACCCCGGGTACAACAATGGATTAGAAAACGTCCAAGGATTGCAAGTTTTACTTACGACTTGAGAAATCATCTGTAAACTTTTGATTACATGAAATTTTCGAAAGTGAAAGAGTTTGTTTATTTATTTTTTGTCTTTGAACAGTCCAAGGAATAGTCCCTTGATTTTTTGCTGCATGTTTATTAATGCCCTTTTCAACTCATTACTATATGATGTTGTTGAGCGATTTTCTGCCAATTTTTCTCTACGAATTCAAATTGAACTAGGCATTTCGCAAAGATAGTGCTAATGAATGCAATGTTCGACGTTGGTGTTCGAAATTTCGTTCCAGAGATTTTAGCTTCGAAGATGAGGACGGTGTGTAGGATGGTCAGCTCCCATGCGGTTTTTGATGGTTGAAAAAGTATTGGAAGAGTAAAAAACGTCGAAAAATAGGTGATCCACGATTTGAACGATCAGCAAATGAATGTGATACGACCCACACGAAATTGTGAAAATACAACTACATTAATACGGTAGAGAATTTGGAAAAAAATATGAAAATGATAATGAAGATGAAAATACTAAAAACAATTTTTTTTTATTATAACAACAACGCCTTATGAAGTCATCAGTGTTATAGAACACTGTTATTATATAAGCTATACAGTAAGAAAACTCCCGGAAGTGATGAATTGAAAGCCGAAACGTACAAACTAATTGTGCATACGACCCTCTTGTTCAGATCTTTAAACCTCACTAGTGATTCCAATCTACAAAAATGGTGACAAAACAGAGGTCAATAACTATAGGCCAATTTCGTTAATCACATGATTCAGCAAATTTTTCAAAAATTTATTGAAATCTCATTAACAAATTATAACAGAAATATAAACTTCTATTGGATATTCCGTGTTAGGAATCATACGTTAAAAGGTAAGACTTCGTTAGTCCTTAGCTCGCACAAGTTTCTCAACTTCTGAGAGTTGTCGTTCCTATGGGAGCGACAGGTGATTAACGGAAAAACAGATTTTAAACAGATTTTCAAACAGATCTAATTTGGCTACAAGCAGAAAAAATCAACCCAGGATGTTGTTCTAGAAGTGACATCGGACATATTATTATATGAAACTTTCAATCATAACAGATCATGTCCCACAGTGTTTATAGACCTTACTAAGGCCTTTGACCTTCAGCCACATAATACTACTCTCTACTATAGAAAAGAAAAAAACAGAAGAATATGCCTGGAATTATTTTAAACATATTCGATTGATCGAGAACAGTGCGCCAAACTCAGGGTCACAGAGAACGGTTCTGGGACCGATCTTCTTCTTGTTATATATTGATGGCAGATGATACTGACATAAACCACAAAGAGAATAACTGGGAAGAGCTTAAATATACAGTAGAAACATACTTGGCCACCGTTTTCAACCTAGAGATCAACTTCAACAAATTTTCCGTATCTCCGTATCTGCTGTGCTCCTCTCCTTCAAAAAATAAATTTTTATGTACCACGCCTAAACTCAAGATACGAGGAAATATTTCATTTGTACACCTGTTGGAAATAAAGTATATCTATCTAATACATAATGAATTAAAAGTCATCCGAAATGAAATGACATATCTTGGAAATATAATAGATATGCATTCAAGGTGGGATATGCACATATACTTCGTTCAAGTTACATTTTATTCTATACAAGTTCAGGCAGTTGAATAATCTTCTAATATCGAAACAGAAAAAAATGTATACTTCGCTCTGGCTGAAAGTCACATAACAAACAGTATATCACGAGCGGGAGGAGTATCGAAAATCCTTTGACGTATTTCAGAAAATATTTCTGAAGATAATGTTGCAGGAGGAATCGAAATTTTCAAATGACTTTATATATCAATAATAAAACAATATTTGACATATGAATTGTATAACAAAAATATTGATATCAATTAGTTGTCAATTCGTTTACAAATGAACTTTCGATAATTTCGAAGTTTTTTTTCCACAAATACGACTATTTTCTGGTGGGTGATCAGCCATTCACCAGTAGTTACATATTTCCTATTAGTAAGTGCGTTGGTTGTAGTGCGCAAGGACCCTCCAGACTTCTGGTGAGTACGTTCAAACTATCACTTTCACGGAATTGTTCATCTCCAACCCTTGGGATATCAAAGGGTGTGAGTTTTTCGACAGCAGTATGGAGGAACTGCTTGACAGCCTGATGACCAAGGACAGGTGTGAAGTAATTACCTTCATGGGTTTATTGCTTGATCGCCTGGGCCTGAGTCCATCAGAAATGCTAAGGGACATCCCCGTGGTGGCAGTTCGGTAGCCCTTTGGCCCTCCACCAGGGGCCAAGGAGCTTCTTGACATCACGGAATGTATCCTCCAGAGATACTCCCGTCGGCACCACCCTCTCTGATCAGTCTGAGACAAACAACAACGACAATACGATCAAGCCTCAAGAACCGGTTAACAAAAAGCGTCGTCTTCCAGAAGAGTGTCCTCCTCTTCCATCTAAACCAGTCGCTCCAGTAAACTAAAATACCGGGAACAAGCCCAAAAAGTGGCTAAAAATATGTCAAAGCTCCGGGACGAAGCCAAGAACAACACTTATTCAGAGTCAGAACTCTCAACAACAGAGTCTTCCGTCGAAGATGATCATTAAATGTTGGTTGACGACAATATGTCTGAAAAATTGATTTCGACTATACAGGGTGGCCCAAAACAGCCATTACAAGATCTGAATCATTTTAAAAACCCCAACGATCAGGAAACTAGCTCCCCTCTTCCTCCGCATCATGAGGTGCCCCAAAGCACCAGAAAAACACGCGTTCCCCCAATTGTCGTTCGCCAGAAGGACAAGTGGGGTCAATTCACAAAGTTGACTGCCTTCCAAAAGGTGAACTTTACCAAGGCAGTAAACATGGCTGACGGATTCAATGTTCAGCCTTCTTCGGCCGGTCCAAACTATTGGTATACCTTACCTGAAGACAGGCAAATCAGAGCTGTCTTCAGAGGAGTCCCGGAACATCTTTAGACCGCTGACATCGAGGACGCCTTGGTTGAAAAAGGTTTCCAACCATCATCCGCCATCAGGATGATGCGGGGAAATCGACCGCTCCCCCTGATTTTGGTTCAAGTGAAGCATATTTATGACATCCGTGATTTCCTTAACGTTAAAGTTAAGGTTGAGACCCAACACCAAAAAACACTGGTAGGGCAGTATCACCGATGTCAGGGGTTTGGACATAGCCAACGGAACTGCCTAGCTATTCCCATTTACGTCAAATGCGCCGGCAGACACCTTTCGGGTGAGTACAAGAAGCCACGAGCAGATCCGCCCAAGTGCAATAATTGCAAGGGCGTGCATACTGCAAACTACCGCGGTTGTCCTGAGTTCCCCAGGGTTCGCAGGAGGACCAAAGTAGCTGCAAATGTCCCCCGAAATGCATCCACACCTGGAAAGCATCCTGCCGGAGCATCTGGCACACGCCCGGGAATGAGCTATGCAGGAGCGGCCAATAGCGGTAACACCTCCGCCAGGCCTACCGAGGCGCCCAGTAGTCCCCACCCGTCGAAGGTTAGTGATATCTGTTCCGCTCTGGACCAGATGAAGAAACTCTTCATTCAGTTTCCCGTACTCGATGTTTAGGGTGAACACCAACGTGCTAACTGGAACCTGTTAATGGCTAGACAATCAACATTGCCCAATTCTCTAAAGGTTGTATTTTGGAATGCCAACAGTATTTCAAACAAGAAATTAGATTTTGAGAATTTTCTAGTACAACAAAACATCGATGTTGCACTGGTGAAGGGAACCCACCTGCACAATGAACCTTTTGCCCAAACTACCGTATTTACTACAGAGAACGCGTTGGAGGAGGAGTTGACATTTTTGTCAAACGTAATCTTTCTCACGTACAATTCGGCATTGACTCGGATCAGTTACATGGCACGGAAGCCGTGGGCGTTGAGCTCCAACTGAGAAGAGGTCGTCATAGACTAATCTCAGTTTGCGACCCTTCGCGGAATCGTCTACTCCCAGAATCACTGGATAAACTGCTGATGTCGACAAATACCCCCACAATTGCTGCTAGTGACTTCAACGCCAAGGACAATCTGTGGAGCAGAATCACCAATGCGAACGGCCGAGCGCTCCATGCGCATGCTGACAGGTATGAGTATCGAGTGATGAGTCCAGATGAGCCCACGTTCTACCGTGGGGATTTAAGGCCAGACGTGCTTGATATTGCACTGGTCAGGAACGTCTCCATGTCCTGCGAAGTGTACACTTTGTCGGAACTTGACTCAGATCTTAATCCAGTCATCCTGATGCTGGGTGAGGATCCCCCTCCCCAGGATTATCGCATGAGATCATCCACGGATTGGGAAGCCTTCAAGGCTCACCTAGTGGAGACACGTGCAAACCGTGAGGCGCTTCAAACTCGCAACAGTTTCGACGCGGCAGTGGCAGATTTCGAATTGTTTGTAAACAACGCTTTCCGCACAGCCACAACCAGGACAGGGTGTCCTCTGCGGAGCCTCAATGAGTTTCCTCCCAGGATAAAGAACCTTATCCGGGTGAGAAATCGACTCAGACGAGTTTATCAGCGGAATCTCTACCCTGGAGACAAGGCTGCGGCTAGCAGGATTGCCAACCAGGTTGAACAGGCCATCACTGACTGTAGAAACGAGAGGTGGAGCGAGTGTTTGGAATCGTTCGAACTTGGGGATGACGACCTCTGGCGAGTCATCCGCAGGCTCGAGAAGAAGAAAACCGCTTCCTCCCCTTTTCACGGAGAGCGCGGCATCTGCTACTTCCCCGCCGAGAAGGCGTTGGCCTCTGCAGACACAATGGATAGTCAGTTTTGACTTAACGTTGATCCTGATGATGATATTGACAGTGATATCCGGCTGGAACACCGGATCACGACATGATCCGTCAATCTTCGGAGGAAGAACTGAACGGGTACATTAGGGCCTCCAAACCCAAGAAGGCTCCGGAAATTGATTCAATCAACAACAGGTTGTTGAAGCAGCTCCCAGAGAACTTCATCAGATACCTGCTGGACCAGCTCAATCACTCTCAGATTATTTCCTCGAATATGGAAGCATGCCGTAGTTG